AAAATGAATACTGCTTATGTTATCCTAGCCCATAACTCAAAACACAAAACAAGAAAAAAAAACAGATGAATACGGAAAAGATTATGTACGTGTATATAATCTGAACTTTTTTAAAAATATATAAGCGCATTTTCAGCATGTTCATGTATACAATTGAAATTTCTTTATTGGAGCTAGCTTTAGACACACTTCGGGATTCGTCATTAGGCTTAGTAAACAACTAACTGAATTTGTTCTAAACATGTAACATATAGCTCGTCAGGCATAATGAACAACTGAATTTGTTCTAAACATGTAACATATAGCTCGTTAGGCTTAATGAACAACTAGCTGAATTTGTTCTAAACATGGAACATACAGTTCATCAGGCTTAATGAATAACTAGCTTAATAAGTTAATTTGTTCTAAACGTGTAATGTGCAATTCATTAGGCTGAATTTCTTCTAAAGCTATCGCCAGGAAAGTCATTTGGATTATATTTATGAAGATACTACGTTTTGTTATATTTTTAAAATTTCCAATCAGATCTATATTTACCCAAACTTTAATAGGATGATTCTTTTTCTCTTTAGACTTTTTGGAGCACGCACCATGTCTCCGAGAGATTTTCGTCAAACGTTATCACTGTTTAACTCGTTTGATTACAAGAATGTATGACATTCAAAATGGAGGCGTTCCCAAAGAACAATCTGTGGAGTCAGCTTGTTGGTGAGTTCTTGTAGTATTACATCGTATAGAAAATCCGACCCAGCCGTCTCTAATTTTTAACTGATAGACTAAAGGGAAGGCAGCTAGTCGACACCACCCACCGCCAACATTTGAGATACTCTTTAAAACTGGAATGAACCTTCGTGTTATAACGTCCCCCCTCCCCCTCTCCGGCTGAAAGGGCGAACATATTCAGGGACAAGATGTAGGAACTATCTGTAAAATAGACTAAAATTACCTCAATTCACCCCCATGTTTGTAATATTTTACCTCATGAGAGATTAAAAACAATGAAGCTTGTGAGATTTAATATTCTATTACAAACATATTTGTTATAGTGGTCTTTTCACACCTTCGTGAACGTTTTTTGTATATTTCAGTATAATCAGTTATTAGATTTTTTCCACCAGGTGTCACTAGTAGCAGTAGATAGATTAGCAGCTCAAGCAGTCTTCGAGGTTAGCAACTCTGATATTTCAATCAACTCGAGAGGAATGTTCGTCCACTAGCGGATTAGTAGCAATAAACGAAGCCACTCTAGAAGCTAACTTAAGTTAATCAGATTTTAAGTAACAACAAAGAAAGCTACTTTAAGTACTAACTTAAGTTAATCTGATTTAAAGTAAATGACTCACTAAACACTATTGGTTATTTTCAAGTTTCTATTCCTATTCAAAGTAGTTCAGCAGTAAGTATGCATACTTACGACGCTAAAATCTTGTTTTGATACACGTGATGGGGCAAAGCATATATAACCCATTTTGAAGCTGTGTGCTTAATAACAATCAAACAAAATTCAAAAGAGCACTTCACCATCTTGTCATAAGTTGGGGGCACGTGTCCCCCATCGGTTTCTCCCTCTGTAAGTTATATTAGGAGTGATAATTGCTATAAAGTGATATTTTCAATAATAATAATAAATACAACTTCGATACTTTTTACGTTTGGCTCAAAGCCAAATTAAATACTCATGTAAATATATTAAAACATATATGTAAGACTGAAGTAAGAGAAACAGTATATTATTTTAACAAAATATTTTATAATGGTGTCATCTGTAACATCCTTATTTTTTCAGCTCATGGTTAGAATTTGGCCGTTGTTCCCTTAATCTCACAGAGACCTCATGTGGCGATAAAGCAGCCAATTATATCAGACGTAAAGCTAAGTTGTACCTCCAGAAGATGTTTGATCTCATCTGTAAAGACACGTCACCAGACACGTGCCGGAATATGGAGAAGCCAAAATTTTTGATTTCACCTTTTGTCCCATTTGTAAATATCCTAAATGAACAAGTGAACAAAGATGGTACTAAGTCATAAGAACCAGACCTGAAGAAAATCTGAAACCTTTTAGGTCTTACAAGTTTGTTTGTTATTTTGCACGGGATTTAAAGAAGGATTCTATGGATTCATTGAAATGTTTTGATTTTCATATGCTTAAAACTTTTATATTACATTTATACTCAGTCACCAATTCATGTAAACTAATAGCTGAAAAAGGTTTCCAATAAACTTTTGCTACTTACATAC